CTTCTTTATTGAGGATGCAATATGACCAGGAGCTTGCAGTCCTTTTTACCACACCTCCCTTGCCTCGTTGGAATTTATGCCTTCAAACTGTAAGCCAGAATGGACTCCCCCCCCCATTAAGTTGTTTCTATCAGGGTATTTTATCCTACGGAAGGAATAATGCAGCTTGTGTTGGCAAACTTAAGTAACTAAGAAAAGCTGCCAAGGCATGTTGAGTTCCTTCTGTAAAGGGGAGGAACAGGAACCCAGCCCTGGCAGGGGGATGATTCCTGGGGGCGGGATGGGGGGACAGTTATATACTAATGATAAGGAGCTTTCTGTTTGTTTGTTTTTCTTATTAGGTATTGTTAAATGTGATCATTTCTACATGATTGCCAGATGTACCTTTAAATGAAAAGGTGTACTTTGCCTTAAAGGTCTGCAATTTCGCCAGGTATGGTGGTACATGCACATAATCCCAACACTCAGGAGTGTGAAGCAGGATGATGTTAACTTGGGCTTCTGATGGGACTCTGTCCCCCTAACAAAATAAAAACAAATGGAACAAACTAAAACCTTCAGTTTGCTGCAGTTTTTGCAGAAATATGGATAGTAGAAAAATTCCAACCTAGAAGAGACAGATGAAGGTTGAGTATATAGGGTCTGTTCAATTCTACTCCTGTGGGATGATTAGTTGAAATGCTAAGAGTGCAGGCAAGGATCTGTGGTTTGCTTGTGTGTGGTTAGTAAGGTGTTCCTAAGTTTATGCCTTTGGTTTAAATAATGATTACTTTTTCAAAAGTCCTCTCAATGGATGAACTTTACATGTGATCCCAATGTCGGGGGAATAGATGAGAGAGGCTGTTGTAGACTAACTTGGTCACTTGCTCCGAATTGTGTTGAATGATGACCTGAATATCAGTGCCATCCATAAGGAAGAACACAATGGAAATGTAAAGTTCTCAAGTCTAGTAAACCAGACGGTAATGTTCAGGTGAATCATTAGAAGTGAGAACCAAAAGGGACCTTATAAAAGGAGTTACTTCTGAAATGTCAAACTAGGATAATTTATGCCTATGGTTATATAGTGTGTCCCACCAACTCCTCAGATTGTCAAAACACTGAAATCAGTTTCTCATTTAGTATAGTCTTGCTGAATTAAAAGAACTCTTCTGATGACACAGAAGCAGAATCCACAGTCTGTTTAAAGCAGCTATGATGGGTTGGCATGACCCATTACCTCAGCATTCAGGAAGCGGGAGCAAGAGACCTATTGAGGACTCAGCACATGGTCAGTTCCCATCTCAGATGGGCATATCAAAGAAACAATAAAACTTCCAAGTAGGCAGGTTTTTTGTTAGTGCCATGCCTGCTGCTGTCTTTACAGTGTTCTAAGAAACTTCTTAATGAAAAGAAACAAAGAATGTGATGTGGTGAAGGTCTTGGACCTGAAACGAGGACCTAAGGGCACCTATTGTGATCTGGATAAATGATCGGAAGGTAGCGAGGAAACTTTAATGGTGTGACTAGACCATGGTACACCATGTATTGCCATATCTAAACCAGCTAATTAGAAGCAAAGGACAATTAATTTGTATGTATGAAAATGCACTTACAGATTTTAGAGTGGAAAATGCCCATGCTTGGACATTAGTGTGTACACTAGTAATATTCATAAAACCTAAAACAGTATAATCAAATCAAATGCCTGGATAAATATAATTGGAAATAAGATATGACATACATATGCAGAAATGTAATATTTAACAAGGGAGTGTGAAGTACTGGTGCATGCTATGAACCTTGAAAACATGCTAAATGAATCCCACCAAACAGGACTACATGGTATAATTTCATCTTGTGAAACCTCTAGAATATGTAATTTAAAGACACAGTGTAAATTAGGGACTCATCACTCTCTGCTTCCTGACTGAAGGCACAGTTTGACCAGCTACCTCGAGCACATGATTTCATGCCATAACCACTGTACCTTGGAACTGTAGTGCAGAGATTTTAGTATGTACCCCTCCCTCTGCATGGGGTTCTCCAGGGAATGATCAGGAAGCTTCTCAGTGGAGTGATTCACACTCACCTCTTTTATAACCTAAATTTCACTATAGTTCCCACTGGGAACCTTGCATCCCTCCATTCCACAAATTCTTACAATGACCTCTAACACTTGGAGATATGATAGTTAGCAGAGACGCAGTCCCTGCCTGAAGAGTTTACATAGAAGAGTTTAAAAGTCAGGCCAGTCAGGCCAGTTCTGGCTTCTTGGAGATATAACCTGGAAGGAATCTTTTTCTCTAGATGATTCTTTTTAAAATTTTTGTACATATATATATATATATGTTGTGTGTATGTATATATGTATATATATGCATGTATAATGTATATATATATATATTAATCTTTCCAAAAATTTATTGGCTGTATATATTCTGTGACTTTGTATGTTAAAATCTTTTGGCTATTGTCTTTAAAGCTTTCAAATTCTACTTTAATTTATTCTTTGAGATTTTATACATGCGTATATCTTGTCTTGATCATGCACCCCCTGAGGCCCACTCCCTCACCCCATACAGGTAGGTCCCTTTCCCAACTTCATGTCCCCTCCTTTTTTTTTTTTTTCATAATCAACTGAATTCAACTAGTGCCGTCTGTATGGGAATGGGGCCATCCTCTGCATTTTGGGCAATCTACAACTGGCCATACCCCTGGGGGGAAAAAGACTATCCCACAGCAGTCATAAACTGCCAATAAGCTATTCAGCTTGGAGGGATCTTAAGAGCCACTCCCCTGTCTGCTACATTGTTGACTGACTCAATATTGCGAGGTCTTGTGCAGTTAACTGCAATTGCTATGAGTTCATGAGTTCAACGTCTACATCGTATCCAGAAAACAACATTTTATAGCCTTCTTCCTCATTCTTTAGCTCTTTTTTTTTTTTTTTTTTTTTTTTGGTCATCTTGTCTGCCTTGTTCCCCAAGGTGAGGCTGAGGCTGATAAAGATATCTCACTGAGGGCTACTTATTCGGAGAACTTTGACCAGATAGGAGTCTAAGCATGACTTGGGCCCACTGCAGAAGGAACTTCTTTTTCCAAGATTGAGAGCAGCACTAACCTATGGAAATAAACATTAATGTTCAGACAGCAGCTTGGCAACATAGCCATAGAGCAAAACATCAATAATAGGTTGCTGCCCTGATTGGCTTTGGAGGTCAACTTGACACAGCCTAGAATTATCTGAGAGGAGAATCTCAAGTGAGGGAATTGAAGGATCAGATCGCCCCGTAGCGGTGTCTGTGGGCTATTTATTGATTGTAATGTCGGAGGGCCCCGCCAGCTCACCGATTGGGCACCCTAAGCAGGTTGTCAAGGATTATCTAAGAAGGCTAGCTGATTATAAGTGGGTCTGCGAGCCAGCTAGCAAACAGCATCCTCCGCAGTCTATGATATACTTCTTTGCCTGTGAAGTGAGTTCCTAGTTGGAGTAATTCCGTGTGGACCAGCAAGCAGACCTGTCTCCAAGTTCCTGCCTGGACTTCTCTCAATGAGGGACAGTGACCTGGCCCTCAATGCTAAAATAAACCTTTCTTCTCTATGTTGCTTTTGACTTTTGGTCATAGCATTCACCACAGCATCATGAAAGAGAAGACATTAGAGCAGTTGCCCCCTAGGGTATTCTGCCTGGTGGTGGTGGTAGGGCACACCTTCAATCCCAGCACTCAGGAGGCATGGCTCAGCAAGGAAAGGTACCTGTCTGTAAGCCTCATGACCCGAATATGATCCCTGGGATACACTTTACACTGGTAGAAAGAGAGACTTGACTCGTACAAGTTGTCCTCTGACCTCCACACAGTTGCCATGCATGAGTCCTCTCTCTCTCTCTCTCTCTCTCTCTCTCTCTCATACACACACACACACACACACACACACACACACACACACACACTTTCAAAATGTAATAAAAAGAAGAATGCATTAAGTTACCTAACATTTGGGGAACCGAGGCAGGAGGATTACCACAAGTTCAAGGCTATATAGTAAGAGTGTGATAAGCTCAGGGACACCAGTCCTCTGTCAAAAGTGCTGGCACATGCTTTCTTTTTCATTCCTTTTTTAGAAGAAATTAAAAATTAAGCTATGAAAAGGAAAAGGACACTAATGTACATTTAAGATGCTCTTAAAGGATATTTCTTTATTTATTATTCTTTATTTGGAGACAGGTTTTTTTTTTTTTTCCTTCTCTCTGTGTAGCCCTGGCTGTCCTGGAACTCCTTCTATAGACCAGGCTGGTCTCAAACTCAGAGGTCTGCTGGGACAAAAGGTGTGCACCACCACAATTGGCTATCACAGAGAATATTTAAATTCTCTTGCTTACTGTTACAAACTAGTGATGAAAAGTTTTAATTTGATTCAACTAAGAAGCATTGCTCTATGGTATGCATGAATCCAAATTATCTGAAATTGAACTGAAAGTTCCAGTTAACCAGATAACCATTAGGAGGGGCTGGTTATCTGAGAAAAACAAGACCTAAAAATGACAAAATTCTTAGAATTTACTTGGGTTACTCTTAATAACCCCAACTTAAAAAATTAGTGTACTAGATACTACATTGAAATAAAGTTGAACAAAAATTGCCTGGGTTTCTTGATTCCTGGAGAAATCAAATACCATGTTTGAAATTTTTGGTAAACCTCTGTTTTCAAAGTTACCGGGGTTGGATGGGCAGGTATTTGGAGAGAAGGAGTTAGTTTATGTGTAGTTTGGGAACTTTAGCCATTGTCCAGTGGGTTTGGGCGGGGCCAGACAACCTCAGTTCCAGGGAAGTATCAGCCACATACATACTTGCGGGTCTAAGGGGGCCTCTTGTGAAGGACTATGACCACCACCCTGATGGCTACTGGGAGTTGGACTAGAAGTCATGAAGACTTCTGACAGGTCTGTCCCCTTGGGAAGTCAGTTCTCTGTTTGTAAGCAGACTTTCATTCCTGTTACAGAGAGACACAAATTCTGATGTGTGGAATCCTCATTCCAGGATTCCACCTGAGGAAGGCGCAGGACCCTGACCATACCGAAGGTAAGGGACCTCAGATGCCACTGGCCAGAGCCAGTGGTGACATTCATCAGAGCCTGAAAAATAGGCATGCGGCTGACTTAGCAGTTCTTGTTTCAAGGATTTATTCTGAGGAAACGTTAAAGCTTGGGGGAAAAGGCTTTGTTTTGTTTGACTATTGAAATGTTTGTTTATGAAGAGAAAAATGTAGTGTCCTAAATGCTCTGTTGTAGGGGAATAGTTAGCCATTAAGACGTGTTACAGAAATAAACAACAACAAAACAAACAAAAAACGAAAGAACCGCATGGAGAAGAGATTGTCTGGCAAACCCGAGTTCAGTCCCAGGACCCCACTGTGGAAGGAGGTGGGAGAAACCAAACCAAACCGAAACAAACAACAACAAAAAGCCGCAGCTTCTAAACATTGTCCTCCGACCTCCATAGAACACTCACATGGGTGTGCCCACACTCACAGATCACAAATATGCACATACACAAAGTATTAAGGGAAAATTGAGGTTCCCTCTTTGGATTCTTCGTCTTGTTAATTAAAAAAAAAAAAAAAAAAAGAAAAGAAAACAAAGAAAGAAATTAGAAGGAAACCCAGGGATCATTTTATTAGAGGGATCATTTTATTAGAGTTTCACACACACACACACACACACACACACAAAACAAAAAACAAAACAAACAAACAAACAAACAAACAAACAAAAAAAAAAACGGGGCTATAAGTCATGGCAGCTGCCAGAAGGAGAGAAGGAGAAGAGGAGAGAAAGTTGGGACCCAAGAACTCCAACAGATTCAGCAGTGGAGTCCAACAAGCAGCTGTATGGGTTGGAGTGGAAATCTTCAGAGACCTCCAAAAATGCAAAGTCTAAAGAATCAGGGGCCCTGCTTAGGCTTTTAGTCAACATCCAAAGAATGAAAAAGAAATGAAAAGGAAAAGTTACAGGTTTAAAGAATTTAATTTCCTTATTATTCATTTTTATGCATATGGATGTTTTGTCTGCTGCATATGTGTACAGCCAGGTATAAGCCTGGTGCTCATGGAGGCCAGAAGAGGGCGAGAGGGCGATAGGTCCCCTGGAACCGGAGTTAGAGACTGTTGTGAGCTGCCTCCTGGGTTCTGGGACTGGGACCCACATCCTCGGGAAGAACATCCAGTGCTTGTAACCACTGAGCCCCCAAAGCTACAGCTTTTGAGTTAGAACTGAGAAAACCGGGCAGGCTTAGCAGTAAGACAGGGAATAGCAGTATGGGAAAAGCCTCGTCAATTTTAAGGGGACAGACAGGTTGTAATGAGAGGAGAGGCATGGGCCAGAACAGCCTGGGAGTGTGCAGGCTGTTTGGGTTATCAGGGACGAGATGCCCTTGCCTCAGGTAGTTTGGGTTATCAGGGACGAGATGCCCTTGCCTCAGGTAGTTGGCTGTTGGGGGCAGATGGATAAGGGAAGTAGTGATTTTCTTGGTAAATAGAAATCTGCCTATTGAGATTCCTGAGGAATGCTGAGTTTAGGCTTCTTTTTACTCAATAACCTTCTGTTTACCTGGCCAGAGTCCTACCTGGGTTAGGACATTGGTACTAGCACCACTGTTTTTGATGGACAACAATAAACCTGAAGAGTGTGTTCCCAACACTCAACAGCAGTGTTAAAGAACTGAGTAATTTTATCACCTTGTCTCTACCAGGCCATAGCATTTTGTATATATTTTTCTTTAACATGCGTGGTAAATATATGCCCACGTCACAACAGTGATTTCATAATTAACATTTGGAGCTGGTTGGCCTTGGTGATGCAAATCTGTACAGCGTGCTGTAGGCTGAGGTGGCCTGGGTTGTGTGTTCCAAGAAGAACAACTGAAAATAAGGGCTCACAGATTTTTAAAAGCAGCAAAATAACTATCCCGAGCAAAGTGATGCTACAGATTTATAGAGGGGTACACTGTCAGCCTGGCAAATGGCCGTGTGAGTAAGAATACTGCCGGGCCCTCGTTATTGTTCGGAGGCTTCCATTCGTACGGTTGAAGTAAAGGATGAATTTGCTTACCGTTGTGAGGACGGTTCTCAATTTTGGCAGACAGGATTAAACTAACCAAGCCTTTAGTCCCTGAGCATATCCTTTCCCACAATGCACCTGACTTTCTTCTTACGCATATGAATTATGCATAATTTCATTAAACATTTGCTTGAGGACATAGTTGTACTTTCCTGCACATGTGCCCCAAACCAGTTCAGGTGAGAACCATTGTTCATCCTTCCTTCCTAATACCCTGGTGAAACACTTGACTAAGCATTGTCTAAACTTGATGGTTGCCAGGAGTGGATCAGAGACAAGAACAGCCCAGTGCAGGCTGAGTCTGAAGAAGGGGTGTGAGTGTGTGAGTGGTATACACAGGTTATTACAAGAGGGAGATGTGCATAACCTAAACCAAATAGGGGTCCAGGCTAAATAATCTCCTATGCTACCTGTCTCTTCTACAAGTTCTAGATTAGCACGGGATCCATAGCATGATCCTATCTCAGAATAACAAGCAAAAAAGAAAAAAAAAAAGTGGAAGCCTTTATTAATGGAGCTGGGTCTATTTGTCTTGTTCTTTGTTGGTCCTCATGGTCTAGCCCACTTGCTTGACACATAAGCCGACATAGCCATTATTTCTTGAGTAAGCAGCTGAATACTGATGTTTTAGAATTTCCCAAACATCTCCCTTTTTGTCTTGGCAATCGAGGTGTTTTTCCAATGTCTTCTGCTTTCTTCAAAAGTTGAGAACATGATCTGTATTGAAATTTTTATTACCTCTATTTGGTTGTGTGGGTCATGTCCATGTGGGTGGGGGTCAGAGGATGACTTGTGGGAGCCGGTTTTTTTCCTTCCACGATATGGGTTCAGGGATGGGCTGCAAGCGTCTTTACCCAGTGAGCCACCTCATGGACCCTGAATTCATGCTTCTTTTAATAAAGACGGTCACTGTCACCGCCATCTGCTTTCCTTTTCCTTCTAGAAAATGGCTGCTCCCGGGGAGGCCTCTGAGGAGCGAGTTTCCGAGTTTGACTATGATTTTCTCCCTGAGCTCTCTGCTCTTCTCGGTGTGGATGCAGGCCGGCTGGTGAGGAGTCAAGAAGAAGAAGAGCACCAAGAGCGAATGAAGATGAGGAAAGGCTTTAACCCTCACATGCGCAGCGAAGCCAAACGATTAAAGACCTTTGTGACCTACGACACATTCAGATCATGGACGCCACAGGAGATGGCAGCCGCTGGGTTTTACCTCACTGGGGTGAAACTTGGGGTTCAGTGCTTCTGCTGTAGCTTAATCCTCTTTGGTACCAACCTAAGGAAAATCCCCATAGAAAGCCACAGGAGATTGCGTCCCGAATGTGAGTTCCTTTTGGGCAAAGATGTTGGTAACATTGGCAAGTATGAGGTAAGGGTGAAGACTCTGGAGAAGCTGAGAGGTGACAGAGCAAGGTACCGAGAAGAGGAGGCCAGACTGGAGTCCTTTGAGAACTGGCCGTTTTATGCCCACGGGACATCGCCACGTGTCCTCTCAGCAGCTGGCTTTGTGTTTACAGGTAACTGGGTTCCATCTTATGAGGGCCTTCTGTAAAACTGAATGAAAGTTTAGTCTCATGTTTTTATTAGTGATATTTGTCAATTATTAATTGCTGCACTAGCTATAAGCCTATTTTATTAAAATTCAACGACTAATTGCATATTATTATTAGTTTGCCCTATATGTAAAATAAAAGGTTAACTTTCTTTAAAAGTGGATGTTAGAAAATATTGCTGTGATCTGAGGGTATAGCTTGGTGCTAGATTGCTTAGCTAGTGTGTGCAGATCCCTGGGAAATAGTTATGCAAGATGACTATGGCTACCAGGTGGAGGTCCAGTACTCGGAAGGGGGTTGTTTATGGAGGTGGGGCTCTGGATGTAGACTCAGCCAGAGAAATTTGGTACAATAGGATCACCAAGACACATCTAGTGCCATTGCTGGCCACTCAGAACCCTTGACTGCATCCGTAGGCAAAAGGGACACCGTGCAGTGTTTCTCCTGTGGTGGATGCTTGGGAAACTGGGAAGAAGGAGACGATCCTTGGAAGGAGCATGCCAAGTGGTTCCCCAAGTAAGTGAATACATATTTTATGCTTTAGATTATCAGTTAAAGAAATCAAAATAAAACTGGAGACAAAAGAACCACATTGTTGGAGTATTCCCTTGAGTTCTGATCTTTCTCTTATTCAGTATAGGATCACCCAGAATTTCTCAAGCAAGGAAGAGCTGATCACAGTGATAAGCTTGAATCACATGAACATACAGGCAGATCTTTATGAGTTCAAGGCCAGCCTGGTTTACAGAGTGAGTTCCAAGACAGCCAGGGCTGTTACATAGAGAAACCCTGCCTCAACCAACAAACAAACAAAAAACAAACAAAGAGCTATTTTGCTTTCATTTAAAAAAATAGTTTTGGTGTGTGTGCATGTGTGTATAGTGTAAGTGTGTGCACATAAATGGACTGCAGGTTGACCTAGCATGTCTTCCTTCTATCTAGCTTGAGACAGGAAAACTGACCTGAACTCATAGATTGGCTAGACTAGCTGGCTAGTGAGCCCCTAGGACCTGCCTGTCTTCTGCTTTCCCAGGGCTAGGGTTAAAGACATGTGTGACCACCTTGATGTTCATACTGGGAATTCAAAGTGTAGATCCCCATACTTGTACTGAGGAGTTTTGCCTACTAAGCCATCTTCCTGTTACCCCCAAAACTAATGTCTTGTCAAGCAGCACTTGCAGGATTTACCTTAACTAATAAATGAGTTAATCTACACAAGGGTGAACATGGTGTATAGATGAAAGAAAATTAAGAGTTTTAAAGCTTTACAAGTAGTTTCAAATACTGCAGAATATATACCAAATGCAGTGATTGCTGGATGCAGTGCACACACCTGTAATCCCAGCATTGGGAAAATGGAGCCTGGAGAATCAGGAGTTCAAAGCCACCCTCTGCTAAAAGACAAGAGGACCAGATACCTAGGTTCCCCACATCCCAGGGCCACCAGAGAGAAAAAGTGTTGTTTCTGAGATTCAAGCATTTTTGTTATTGCAATAGGGCATTATAATTATTTTTAGTGTTCTATTTAGTACTGGCTTTATAAATTTTTGTTACTAAAAAAGGTCTATTCCTTTCACTGGTTTTCAAACTTTCATAATGGAATAGCTCATAGAAAAAAAAAAAAGGAACACTTGTCAGCACCTGGTCAGTAAATATTTTGTCTATCTCCCACAATCATTTTCCATGGAATGACAATAACCAGGTTAATTCAAAATGAATTCCAGATACCTCACAATGCCCTTTGTTGTTACTATTACAGCACATAGGACTTAAAAAGCAAGCAGGACCACAGCATCATTATATCTCCTAGAGAAAGAAGGCATTACTGCCCAATGTCAAATACCTCAATCAGCATTCAACTCTCATCTCCCTCCATCTCTTAACCTTTTTACACATTTTGGTGTGGGGCTCTGTAACGAGTACGGTTTTTTCCTCCCGCCACCGCTTTAACCGCGTTAGGGCTCCAGCCTCAGACAGAACCCATGCTGCTGCTCCTGGGCTCCTGAACCATCTCTGGTCCAACTCATGTCTGCTTGTCCTCAGAGCCCGCTGTTTAGTGTTGCTGGCAACACTCTGGACAACTGCTAGCCATGTCATTCACAAGTAATCATGGATCGTCCTAGCTAGAGCTGCACATCTGCCTCCAATGGCCCTTTGTCCCTTCTCTGACACAGAGCAGAGGGAACATGACCCATGCAAGAATAGTGGACAGTCTTCCAGAGACCGGCCCTACAGCTTGCACAAGAAGCTCCAGAAAGAGATGGGCTGAGGCAGGCTTGCACACGCAGGCTGCCTGACTGCAGTCCTGAAATGATGCACTGATCCTCTTAGAACCTTGAATGTAAAATGCAGATAATAATGTATAGCTTGTAGTCTTGCAAAAATGACCATGCATTACAGGCAGTACAGGCAGTGACTAATGTACCTTTCATTTGTCAGCACGAGCACAGGGCTGGCATCAGATCTCAGTCTCCAAATTTCGTGTTGTTTTATTTACCCTTAGTTTCTTAGACTTCTATTTTAAACACTGGCTTGGTCACTTCTTTTATGAAATATTGGCAAAACATCTGAATACTTTTTTACACTTTTTTAAAACCCGAGTAATAAATGTGAACTGATTTTAGTATAATTTTAAGTTTTGAAACAATTGGCCTTTCTCTGACTCCCAGGTTCTGGGATTGCAATTTTTATCATCATGTCCTGCAATTGATATAGTTTTAAAATACCATTTGAGAAAGTAATATTGAGGTGGGAATGTTGGCAAATGCCTGTAATCCCAGGCCTTGTGGGGTAGAGGCAAGAGGATCAGGAACTCAAGGTTTTTATTTTTGCTATCCAGATAACCTAAGGTGAACCTATTTTGAGATCCTATCTCAAAAGAAAAAAAAAAGTACTAAAATGTTTTAAAAGCAAATTGACTTATAATATTTTTAAAGGACCAATAACCTCAATTCACTGTAGTTCACTCCAGGTCCTTCTTGCTACATGGGTTACATTCAGGCATAGAGCAATGCATGGGAAGATATGAAAAATGGAGCCAGGAACCCTGGCTGCCACAGATGTTGAGTGGAAGCCCTTTAGACTTTTTGAGTCATGTGATGGAGTTCATCCTCTCATTCGATTAGAAGGGAACAGGGCATTTCATCACCCCCATTGACAAAAGAGCTCTCAGTCCACTCCTCACCACACCATGCCTTTCAGGAGGATGTTCGATTCTTTATTAAAAAAAAAATCAAAATAAGATCTGTTACTTCAAAAAGTTATTGTGATCTTTTTGTGTAGTAGGTGAAATATGTGACACCAAATTTTCCTATTTTCTCTTTACTGTCACTGACGGATCCGACCACAGGAACTGAGCTCCCCCGTAGAAAGGCAAAGCTTCCCCACCCTGTTTGCTGTGTATCAGTCTCTCTATCGCTCGCCTTGCACACTCGGTTTAAGAAGGTGACGCAGAGTGCTGTGGTGAGGCTGAGGCAGAAGATTGCTTTAGGCCAGTTCATCATCAGCTGGGCAACAAAGGAACACCTCATTATAAAATAAAAGTAAAAGTAATCTGAATATTCAGTTTTAAGTAACCGCACATGTTGCCACTAATGTAAATAAAAAACAATGGTAGTTCTCACGTGTAAGGTTTGGGGTGGCTTTTTAAATACAGTATATTTGATTATGTTCCTCCCCTCCAGTTCCTCCCAGAACTTCCCCACTTCACTCGGTTTCAACACAGACACAGATACACACACACACACACACACACACACACACACAGAGAGAGAGAGAGAGAGAGAGAGAGATGAAAACTAAAACAAATAAAAAACTAGTATGACAAAAAAGCCAGAACAACAAAACAAAACAAATGCCCATAAAAATGGGATGGAGTTCATTTTGTGCTGCCCAACTATTCCCGGGCCCGGGCCTGCCCTGGAGTGTGGTTGTTGTACCCAGGGACACTCCATTGGAGAAAACTGAGTTTCTCCTTATCATCACGTATCAATTGCAAATAGCTTCTCGGTTAAGGATTGGACCCAGTGTCTACTTCCCCCTTTTAGTACTGGTTTGGACCTGGGCAGGACTTGTGCCGACTACTGAGGCAAACATTTTGGCAATTCTACTGATGTATAAAGTTCAGTAGTTCGATAGGTTTTTATCAAATACGTGTTGTGATTTCAAACATCTCTATTTATTGGGATATATTTTAATGATAGGTGTGAATTTCTTCAAACTAAGAAGTCCTCAGAGGAAATTGCCCAGTATATTAAAAGCTACGAGGGATTTGTGCATGTAACGGTAATTCACAACAACCATTTTTTTCCACTAGTGTATGTTCATTATCTAGTGATATTTGAATCCTCAGGGTGAGGATTTTTATTTTTTCATGGATTCATTCTCCACCTCTCATCTGCAGAGTAGAGACACAAAATTCTTGTCATCTGCAAAGCTGGAACCATGTAGATGGAGTTTTCCAGGCTGGCTTTGGGTGGCTCCTGCTGCCTCCTTCCCTCTGAGCCCACTGCCCTGGCTCCTTCTGCTGCCTCCGCCAGCAGGCCCGACCCAGTCTTCTGTCCTAGTACCTGGTGCCAGCAGGGCACTGAGAGCTGGCTCCCGCCCTGGTTTTGTAGGCCTCAAACTAGTAAGGACTCCTAGTGGCACCCAGTGGGAAACATCCAGATGGAAGCCTAGGGAGAGTGTGATGGCTGGTGACTCAGAAGCAGCATCTGCAGTCAGGGGCTGAAGTCTGGGTGCAGCTTCCTCACAGGGAGAGTTGCTCAGTTGGAAAGGTCCTTCTGAGGTGAGCTCCCTTCCCGGGCCTCAGTTCCCCAGAGTCAAAATGCTTCTGTGTGTGTGACTGCAGTTCTCTTGAAGAGCTGGGTGTGGGAAGAGTGACCCGAGAAAGTTCCCTTTTGCCAGAGGTCAACATGTTTTGTACTGTAAGTCAAATGTGGTTTGATCACGCCAGACCACCTGAAACAGAGGACCAGGTGATCCTACATTCAAAACAGCTGGACAAGGCAGCCTTACAGACTACAGCCAGGATTTCTGCATCTTCTTAGAATCCCTCATGACAGCGCCTCTTACCAGCAGGAAGTAGTTTGGAAAGAACGACGCCCAAATTCCCCAATATTGTCTATAAATGTTTGTTTTCATTTAAATGGACTTGGATATATATATATATATATATATGTATATATATATATATATATATACATATATATATATATATATATAAAATCCCCAAGTCAATAGAAAGCAAACTGAAGGACTGCTTTGCCAACACTTCTGCTGCCCTGATGAAACTTCACTTTAGTGGGGGAAATCTGTCAGTTGCAGGTCACAGGCAGATGTACTTTTTATAATGAATCAGTAACCTGAATTTCCTCCCCTCAGGGAGAACATTTTGTGAATTCCTGGGTCGGAAGAGAATTACCTATGGTGTCAGGTAAAACCTCAGGCACGTTCCAAACGCTTTGCTTGTTTCTTTCCTTTTTTATGTCACTCCTCTCTGCCCATGTCTGTGTGTGTGCCACATGTGTACAGGAGATTTTGGAAGCCAGATTAGCAGCTCAGATCCCTTGGTGCTGGGGTTCCAGGCAGTTGTGAGCCACCTGATTTGGGTGCTGGGCCCTGAACCCAGTCCTCAGGAAGAGCGGCAAGTGCTCTTAACCCCGAGCCATCTCTCTCTCCAGTGCTGGTCCACCTGCTTTAAACATTACTTTCGTAAGTGATTTCCCTGTTATGGAATGACTGGCTCAGTGCTCACCCTCACTTGCTGCTCTTGCAAAGAGCAGCTGGAAAACTCTGCAAGTCCCATTGTAGAGGATCCAGTGCCCTCTTCTGACCTCCATGGGCTCTGCACACCTGTGCTGCAGTCAAACATGTAGACAAAACACCTACATCAAAAATAAAAGTAAATGAATCTTTAAAAGTAAGGGAATTTTAAATCCACACTCACTTCCTTACTCATTACTATGTGTGTGCACTCATGGGTCCCATGTGTCATGGTGCAAACGTCAGAGGACAACTTATAGGGGTTGGCTCTCTCCTTCTACTGTGAGGGCTCCAGGAATTAATCAAAAGGTTGCCAGGCTTAGCGGCAAACATTTATACCACAGAGCCATCAAAGAGGCTTAGTTTTTAGCATAGGTGAGCATAGCTAACTATAGTAGGGCTGGTGCCATAACTGATGCTTCCCTTAAAACAACTAAAATCTTGGATAAAATGTTTTGGAAGCATTTTTATGGTGTTTCCTATCCGAGGCTGGCCTCAAACTTGAATGAACCTTGACTTTTGGTTCTCCTGCTGAGTGCTCATAGGAAGCTTCTCAGTGTCTAGGGATGGAACCCACCATGGACTTCCTGAATGCTAAGAGTGTGCTGTATCGACTGAGCTCCACCCCCAGTCCCCCAAAGCATTCTTCAGTGGCTCTGTGCACTGTTAAGTCACTAAGGAATAATCACATTAAAATGAGGTGACAGGTCTGCAGCTATTACTCACTTGCCTACCATGGGTAAGGCCCTGGGGGTTCCATCCCAGCACAGAAAGAAAAATAAAACCTTAGCGTCAGGGATTTAGCTCAGTTGTAGAGCACATCTCTAGCAAATAGGGCAGTCCCAGCAGAATTCAGGGACATGGGCAGGTAGACGGGATGAAAACAATTATAATTCAGTAAGGTCAACTGAGTGTGGTGCTCAATCCTGTCATTCCTGCTCTAGAAAGTGGAAAGAGGAGCTTGACTATGATATCAGGTTAGAGGCCAGTATAGGCTACATGAAATCCTGGCTCAAAAACAAGACTGAGAGGAAAAAAAATTCTAAGATTAGTGCCAAGTAATCACAGCACTAAGAAAGCTGAGACAGAAATAGCACAAGTTGAAGGATACTTTAGCTTAAGTTACAAAGCTAAACACTGTTCTCCTCAATACACATGGAGCTGAAGGGATGTCTCAGATATTAAGGGTATTTGCTGTTCTTGCAGAGGACTCAGGTTCAGTTCAAAGTATCTACATGGTAGCGGCTTACAACTGTCTGTAACTCCATCTCCAGGGGATCTGGCATCCTCTTCGGGTCAACTGGATACATGCAGTATACATACATACACATAGGAAACACACACACACACACACACACACACACCATCCTCTAGCTAGACCCCCCATTTTGCAGTAATTTGCTGAAATGACAAACACAAAGGGAAAAGGAGAAGCAGTCAGGGTTTGTTCTCCAGGTCTTTAGAAGCGGAGCTGTTTCTTTGGCCACATATGCAAGAGTCTACAAGAATGGTGACATTGCAAACAAGGGAATGAGCTTCTCAAAAAGTTGCATGCTCATGAAAGTTACCATAGCAACCCTGGGAGAGTCCACAGTGTCCCCCAGCATGCTTTTGTCACTGTAAACAAGTGAAGGGCATGGTTCCTGGGAAGAAATGTGCTGAGTATACTGAGCATATAAAGAACTATAAGGGTCAGGGCTGGGGCAATGAGTGCAGATTGCTTGCCTTGGAAACCCAAGGATTTGCTTTTTATCTCTAGAGCCCATGTGCCAAAACCAGGGTCACTGTGCTTTGTAATCCCGGGACTGGGAAAGCAGAGACACATGGATGCCTGAGGTTGGACCACCTGGCCAGGGAAGTGAGACTCTCTCCCTGCCAACGAGAGAGAACTAGGGAAAGTTGTCCTCTGACTTTCACAGGTATGAATGCGTACATTCACATGTACCTGCACACGCACGAACACAAAGAACCCTAAGTCCTCAGCTAGCTTCCTCATAGAGGTAAGGAAACAATCAGACAGAGAAGGAAGCCAGAGGAGTCTGAAGTGCCACCCTGCTCCAACAGGAGCACACGCCGTGTGAGCACTAAGGAAAACAGTGGAGCCTACCCCTATGCACTGTGTCTTAATAGAAGTCACAAGTAAAACAAAACAAAAGGCTTCTAAACTTTAAAGATCTTTTTCTCAATTAAATCAAAACGTGATGCACTCTCCCCCAGAGGAGTATGTAAAGCAGCAAAACAACAACAGAATCTCAATCCTAGGCTAAGTGTGAACACAGGCAAGCAAGCTTCCATGGCGAGGAACAGCATGCAGAAGACACGTTCAGGGTCCAGAGGCCAGGACGAGGCAGGCCCCATGAGGTGGGGACCCCCCCCCCCAGCATGGTCGTCTCGAAGAGCAAGCTGTCACAGTGACTTTTTATGAGAGCCTGTCTCTAACCTTGACACTCACTCTGGAAACAGGAATCTCCTCTTGCTTTAGTCGGGTCCTGATCACCTAGGATCAAGAGGCAGTCTAAAGTTAAATCTGAACACATTGATCACACACAGACATGAACAGAGTGAATGGAGTACCCCAGCCTCTGCCACTCTGCTGCCGCAGTTCTAACACGGTCGCTCTTGTATCTTTTATTCCTTCATGCTTTTCTAAGCACCCTCCACGATGTTTACACAAGCAGAGGCCATCAGGGCTTCCCACCTACACACAGCTAGCTTGAACACTGTGATCAAAGCCTGCTGCCCTCACCTGTGTGTGTCTTCCCAAGCCTACAGCAATGACAGCGTCTTCGCTCATGAGGAACTAAGGCGGGACACTTTTAAGCACTGGCCCCATGAATCACCTGGGGCTGTTGAGGCTATGGTCAGAGCAGGCCTTTTCTACACAGGTGAGTCAGCTTTGTATTCTCTTCGTTTTTATATTTATGTGTGCGTGTGTGTGTGTGTGTGTGTGTGTGTGTGTGTGTGTGTGTGTATGTGTGTGTGTGTATGTGTGTGTGTGTGTATGCCTATGTGATGACCTCAGAGGCCAGACAGGGTGTGGCTGCTGGAACAAACCCGACTCCTTTGTAAGAACAACAAATGTTCTTAAATGCTGAGCATCTCCCTGGCTCCTCAGTCGGTGTTTTTTGTCTACCACATGCTCTAATCCTGGCCTTGCATTTCTCTTTATACTTCATTTGTCATTGGTCTCTTTGGGAGTCCATAAGATCTCCAGTTTTCCATAGCTCAGCCTCTGAACTTGTGGATTCTGCAGTGACTTCCTCCAACAGACATATTCCACTGGCACAAATGATCTTACCGTGGGGTCTTAACCCTTTGTCTCCTCTTGCCTGCCTTACTCCGAGCTCACGAATGACATGCTTCTATTTCTAGTGAAACACAGCCAGCAGCAGTAATGTGAGAAGAGACAAGTGATTCTTCGTAATCTAGCTCGCATAGAGGCTCCTAAATGTGTTCTTCTGTCTCGCCCCCAGCTAAAAGTATATTCTTTCTATTTATTCATTAATCAAATGCTTGTTGATCGCCTACGTCTGTGAAAGCCACTAGTGTCCAAATCAGACAGAAATCTCTGCTCTCACAGAGATTGTGTTCCCAATTCTGGTGACAAATCTTTCAGGATGATGGGTTTGGGAGAGGGTGCTCATCAAAGCCAAATGTGCACAGGGACATCCGAGGACTTTTCCCGACCACCCCCTTGAAGGATCAAGAGTCCTGCGTGAGCTGTGCCTGTCTTTGCCACTCAATCCAATTGCAGATGCAAGCAGGATTTCAGTGGTAAAATCTGGAGTTATTATCTGCTTGTGAGGTGACAGATGGGTGTGCTGTTGAACTGACCATATTCTCTTACTCTAGGCAAAAATGACACTGTCCGGTGCTTTTCCTGTGGAGGATGTATGTGGAAATGGGAGGAAGGTGATGACCCATTAGAAGATCACACCAAGTTTTTTCCCAAGTGAGCAAAGTGAATTCTCTGACTTGGAATGTACTCCATCAGTTATTCCCTTACTGTCCCTGCTTTACCTGTGGATAGTCCCTGGACACTCCTTTGGTTCCTTATATCTTCGTGTCCTTTCTCCCATGATGCCCTAGGGCCCTGTCTAGTTTTTTTCTCATCATAGTTAGATCTTGGTTTTGGCTGGGTCCATACACACGCTTTTAAAGACAGGATCTCTCTCTGGAGCCCAGACCACTGTAGAAATGTTATCTAGCACAGTAGGACTTGAACCCATGATCCTCCAGGCTTCGCCTCTCAAGGGCTGGCACTATAGAGAGACACCACTGTACCTGATGATCCCATGCCTTTATGAGTCTTTTGATTGCAAGCTAGTTCCTCTGTCCTCATCTTTCTAGAATCCTTTAGGGTTTTCTGTTTGCTGTTATCTATGATTTGATTTTCTCAGCGGTTTTCTTTTTCCAGTGTCGGAGATGGATCCAAATGGTTTGGGCAAGTTAGACGATCCCTTTACTATTGAGCTACTCTCACCCCCTTTTAAGTCAAGTTTATTTTTATTTCTCTTCTACACATTAAAAACTCTAGAAATGTTGAATTGCAAAATGAAATTTTTGTTTTTACTTAGCAATTAGAATTTTCCATAGGTAAATATCATTTTCTAGAGATAAATACCCAGTTTTTCTGGGTAAAGCGGTAGACACATGGAATCCTACCTCTCAGAAAACTGAAGGAAGAAAAACATAGCTTTGTTTTATATTAACTGCTTTAACACGAATTATCTAAAACCAATCTATTTTAAAAATCCAGCACATGTAATTGAGAAATAAAAGTGTCTTGCTATCATATGCCTTTGAAAGCACAAAAATCTGAAATAGTGTTGGTGTCTCTGTGGTCTTTGTTCATTTCTCCAGTTGTGAGCTGTATGCATGCAGTACATTTCTAAAATTGGGCTAAATTGTGTTGGCATTAAAAAAAATTAAGTCTAATTATTTTTTAAATGTAAAGTTTTTTGTTGTTGTTTTGCTTTGGTCTTTGTTTTTAGCCTTGGCTGTACTGGAACTCACTCTGTAAACCAGGTTGGCCTCAAACAGATAGATATCTGCCTGGTCTGCCTCCCAAGTTCTGGGATTAAAGGCATGCGTCATCTGCCTAACCTAAATGTAAAGTTTTAAATAATTGTTTGGTCTTGAGATAGGGTAGCAACAATTTGCCAAATTCTTAAAGATGTTTTTTATTTTATTGGCATTCATTAATTATATATAATAATGACATTTTCATATTTATACATTATGACCTTTGCACACACGCACACACACGCACACACACACACACACACACAGTATATTGCAATGGTGCTCACCACCACCCTCCCATTGCCCTCTCTTATCTCCCCTAGCTCACTTTGGCTGGTTTCATGGATAGGCACTAACTATGTACTCATTCCAACACAGCCCCTGGATACCTGTGCCACTGCTTTACAAACCACTTTCTTATGTTATGGAAAGCCTCTGTCTGAATGTCATATATGACACAACCCTGACAGGGTCACTGAAAACGTTAGCTTTCCACTGCATGCTTGGCCCCAAGTCTTCATGCATCCTTTTCTTTTCTTTCATTTGTTAATGTTTTGTTTTTATCATTTATTATTCTTATTTTACATATCCATCCCAGTTCCCTCTCCCTACCTCACTCCCACCCACCCCATTCCCCCTCCACACATACACACCACATGTAGGGTGATGCCTTCCAGGAGGGGTCACCTAAATCTGTCAAGTCATTTGGAGTAGGGACTAGGCCCTCCCTCCTGCCTCTAGATTAAGACAGTATCCCTCCATGGGAATGTGCTCCCAAAGTCCCTTTGTGCACCAGGGGTACATCCTGGTTCCACTGTCAGAGGTCCCATAGACTGCCCAGGCCTTCTAGCTGAGACCCATGTTCAGGGGGTCTGAGTCAGTCCCATGCTGGATTCCCAGCTATCATTCTGGGGGTCCATTAGCTCCTCCTTGTTCAGGTCAGCTGTCTCTGTGGATTTCTGTGCCTGGTCTTGTCCTTCCTCTCTGTATCTGGATTCAGTTCAGCTCAGTGTTTAGCTGTTGGTGTCTGCTTCTGTTTCCATCAGCTACTAGATGAGGGCTATGTGATGGTAGATAGGTTAGTCATCAATCTCATTATCAGGGAAAGGGCGTTTAAGGTAGCTTTTCTAGCCTTTCCACTGTTGCTCAACAGTGCTCAACAGTGGAGTTGTTAGTTGGGGTCAGTCTTGTATGTCTCTAGACATTTCTCTAGAGTCATTTTTCTCTTCAAACCTATAATGGCTCCCTCTTTTATGGTATCTCTCTCTCTCTCTCTCCCTCTCTCTGTCCTCTGTCTATTCCTCCCCTGACTCAATCTTCCTAGTTCCACGTGCTTTCCTCTTCTCCCCTTCTTTTCTCCTAGCTCCCTCTCCACTCACTGTCCCCTCCCCCACTCCCATATACTCAGGAGATCTTGTCCCTTTCCCCTTCTGTGAGGGACCTTGTATGGATCTCTGAGAATCCTCCTTGTATCCTAGTTTCCTCTGGCAGGGTTACTTATAGGCTGGTGATCCTTTGCTCTATGTCTAAAATCCATATATGAGTGAATACATACCATGTTCCTCTTTTTGTGACTGGGTTACCTCATTCAGGATGTTTTCTTTAAGTTCCATTATCCATTTGCCTGTGAATTTCAAGATTCCATTGTTTTCCACAGAGTAGTATTCCATTGTGCAAATGTGCCACATCTTCTTTATCCATTCTTCAATTGAGGGGCATCTAGGTTGCTTCCAGGTTATTGCTATTACAAATAAACTGCTACAAACATAGTTGAACAGATATCTTTGTTGCATAGACGTGGATCATTTGGGTATATGCCTGGGGATTGCCAGGTCCTGTGGTAGACTGATTCCCATTTTTCTGAGGAACCGCCATCCTGATCTCCAAAATGGCTGTATGAGCTTGCACTCCCACCAGCAGTGGAGGAGTGTTCCCCTTTCTCCACCTCTCCAGCATGAGTTGTCATTGGCGTATCTACTTTTAGCCATTCTGGCAGGAGTAAGATGAGATCTCAGAGTTGTTTTGATTTGCATTTCCCTGATAGCTAAGGATGTGGAGCACTTTCTTAAATGTCTTTCAGCCTTTTTGATTTCCTCTATTGAGAATTCTCTATTCAGTTGTGTACCCCATTTTTAATAGGGTTAATTGGTGTTTTGGTGACTAGTTTATTGAATTCTGTGTATATTTTGGAGATCAGCCCTCTGTCAGATGTAGGATTGATGAAGATCTTTTCCCAGTCTGTGGGCTGCCGTTTGGTCTTGTCCACTGTGTCCTTTGCCTTACAGAAGCTTTTCAGTTTGAGGAGGTGCCATTTATTAATTGTCGACCTCAGTGTCTGTGCTACTGGAGTTATGTTCAGGAAGTGGCCTCCTGTACCAATTTGTTCAACGGTACCTCCTACTTTCTTTTCTAAGAGGTTCAATGTGGCTGGATTGATGTTGAGGTCTTTGATCCATTTGGACTTGAGTTTTGTGCATGTTGATAGACATGGGTCTATCTGCAGTCTTCTACACACCCTCATCCATTGTGCCAGCATCATTTGTTGAAAATGCTTTCCTCCTCCCATTGTATACTTTTAGCTGTTTTGTCAAAAATCAGGTGTTTTTAGGTGTGTGGGTTAGTGTCAGGATTTTTTTTTTTTTTTTGATTCCATTGGTCTACCTGTCTATTTTTGTGCCAATACCAGGCAGTTTTCAGGACTCTAGCTCTACAGTAGAGCTTGAAGTCAAGGATGGTGATGCCTTCTGAAGTTCCGTTATTGTACAGGGTTGTTTTGGCTATCCTGGGTCTTTTGTTTTTCCATATAAAGTTGATTATTATCCTTTCAAGGTCAGTGAAGAATTGTGTTGGGATTTTAATGGGGATTGCATAGAATCTGTAGATTGCTTTTGGCAAGACTGCCATTTTTACTATGATTATCCTACCTATCCAAGAGAATGTGAGATCTTTCCATTTTCTGGTATCTTCTTTAATTTCTTTCTTTAAAGACAGAAAGTTCTTGCTATATAGGTCTTTCACTTGTTTGGTAAGCATTACCCCAAGATACTTTAAGTTGTTTGTGGCTATTGTAAAGGGCGATGTTTCTCTGATTTCTTTCTCAGCCCCTTTGTTGTCTGTATATAGTAGGGCTACTGATTTTTTTGAATTTATCTTGTATCCTGCTAGTTTGCTGAAGGTGTTTATCAGCTGTAGGAGTTCCCTGGTAGAGTTTATTGGGTCGCTTATATAAACTGTCATATCATCTGCAAATAGTGACAGTTTGACTTCTTCCTTTCCAATTTGTATCCCCTTGATCTCCTTTTGTTGTCTTATTGCTCTGGTAAGAACTTCAAGTATAATATTGAAGAGATATAGAGAGGGCAGCCTTGTCTTGTTCCTGATTTTAGAGGAATCACCTTAAGCTTCTCTCCATTCAGTTTGATGTTGGCTGTTGGTTTACTGCATATTGCTCTTATTATGTTTAGGTATGTTCCTGTTATCCCTGATCTCTCCAAGACCTTTATCATGAAAGGGTGTTGAATTTTTCAGCATCTAGTGAGATGATCATGTGGTTTTTCTTATTCAGTTTGTTTACATGGTGGATCACATTGATAGATTTTCATATGTTGAACCATTCCTACAACCCAGGGATGAAGCCTACTTGGTCATGTTGGATGATTTCTCTCATGTGTTCTTGGATTTGATTTGCCAGTAGTTTATTGAGTATTTTTGCATCGATGTTCATCAGGGATATTGGTCTGTGGTTTTCTTTCTTAGTTGTGTATTTGTGTGGCTTGGGTACCAATGTGATTGTGGTCTGGTAAAAAAAAAAATGAATTTTTTGCTTCTATTGTGTTGAACAATTTGAGGAGTATTGGTATTAGCTCTTCCTTGAATTTCTGGTAGAAGTCTGTACTGAAGCCATCTTGCCCTGGGCATTTTTTTTTTTTTTTTTTGGTTGGGAGGCTTTTGATGACTGCTTCTATTTCATTAGGGGTTATAGGTCTATTTAAGTTGCTTACCTGTCCTTGATTTAATTTTGGTAAGTGATAGTTATCCAGAAATTTGTTCATTTCCTTTGAATTTTCATTTTTTGTGGAGTACAGGTTTTCAAAGTATGACCTGAAAATTCTCTGGATTTCCTCAGTGTCTGTTGTTATGTCCCCTTTTCATTTCTGATTTTGTTAATTTGCACGTTCTCTCTTTGCTTTTTGGTTAGTTTGGATAAAGGTTTGTCTATCTTGTTGATTTTCTCGAAAAACAAACTCTTTGTTGCATTGATTTTTTTTGTTTTGTTTTGTTTTTATTATTTTTTTTTGGTATTATTTTCCTGGTTTCTACTTTATTGATTTAAGCCCTCAAATTGATTATTTCCTGGCATCTACTCCTTCAGGGCGAGTTTACTTCTTTTTGTTCTAAGGCTTTCAGTTGTGCTGTTAATTCTTTAATGTGACTATCCTCCGTTTTCTTCATATGGGCACTTAGTGCAATGAACTTCCCTCGTAGCACTGCTTTCAAGGTGTCCTAAAAGTTTGGGTATGTTGTGTCCTCATTCTCGTTGAATTGTAGGAAGTCCTTAATTTCTTTCTTTATTTCTTTTTTGACCCGTGTATGGTGCAATTGCGTATTGTTCAGTTTCCATGTGTTTGTAGGGTTTCTGCGATTTGTGTTGTTGTTGAATTCCAACTTTGAAGCATGGTGGTCTGATAAGATACAGGGGACTATTCCAATTTTTTTGTATCTGTTGAGGTTTGTTATGTCCTTTAGTGTGTATTCGATTTTAGAGAAGGTGCCATATGGAGCAGAGAAGAAGGTATATTCTCTTTTGTATTTGGATGGAATGTTCTATAGATGTCTGTTAAACCCAATTGAGACATAACTTCTGTTAGTTCTTTTGTTTCTTTAAGTTTCTGTCTGGTGGTCCTGTCTAGCTGTGAGAGCGGGGTATTGAAGTCTTCCACTATAAGTATGTAAGGTTTTATATGAGATTTGAATCTTAGTAGCATTTCTTTTATGACTGTGGGTGCCTTTGTATTTGGGCATAGATTTTCAGAATTGAGACTTTGTGCTGATGGATTCTCCTTTGATGAATTCAAAATGACAGTTTTCATCTCTTTTGATTGATTTTGGTTTGAAGTCTAACTTGTTAGCTATTAGGATAGCTACACCAGCTTGCTTCTGGGGTCCATTTGATTTTCCAACCCTTTACCCTGAGGTAATGTCTGTTTTTGAAGCTTAGATATGTTTCTTGTATGGATGGATTCTGTTTTCATATCCATTCTGTTAGCCAGTGTCTTTTTATAGGCGAGTTAAGACCATTAATGTTGAGGGAAAGTAAGGACCATTGATTGTTAATGCTTGTTTGTTTTAAATTTCTTGTTGTGGTGGTGTTATGAATGTATTTGCCTTGCTTTACCCTTGGGTTCTGGTGAAGTGGGATTATTTATTGCCTAAGTCATTGTGAGTGTAGTTAACTTCCTCGGGATGGAGTTTTCCTTCCAGAACTTTCTGTAGGGCTGGATTTGTAGATAGGTATTGTGAAAATCTGGCTTTGTCATTAAATATATTGTTTTCTCTGTCTTTAGTGATTGAGAGTTTTGCTGGGTATAGTAGCCTGGGCTGGCGTCCCTGGACTCTTAGTACTTGAGAACATCTATCCAGGACCTTCTGGCCTTGAGGGTTTCCATGGAGAAGTCAGGTGTAATTTTGATAGGTATGCCTTTATATGTTACCTGGCCTTTTTTCCTTTGTGGCTCTTAATATTCTTTCTTTACTCTGTATATTGGATGTTTTGATTTTTATGTGTTGAGGGGTCTTTTTTCTTTGGTCCAGTCTATTTGGGGTTTGGTATGCTTCTTGTACTTTCATGGGCATGTCCTTCTTCAGATTGGGAAAGTTCTCTTGAATGATTTTGTTGAAAATGTTTTCTGCACCTTTGAGCTAGGCTTCTTCACCTTCCTCTATGCCTATTTTTCTTAGGTTTGTCCTTTTCACGACGCCCCACATTTCCTCGATGTTTTGTGTTAAGGATTTGTTTAGATTTTCTTTGTTCGATGAATCTATTTCCTGTAGTTTATCTTCAGTGCTTGGGATTCTCTCTTCCATCTCTTGTATTTTGTTGGCTATGCTTGCATCTGTAGTTCCCAATCGTTTGCCTAGTTTCTCTATTTCCAGTATTTCCTCAGTTTGTGTTTTCTTTATTGTCTCTATTTCAGTTTTCAAGTTATGAACTGTTTGAGTTGTTTCCTTCAACTGTTTGATTCTTTTTTCTTGGCTTTCATTACTTTCTTTAAGAGATTTGTTCATTTTTTGCATTTTTGCGTGGATTTTTCCTCTATTTCTTCCAATTTTTTATTTGTTTTTACTTCTATTCTTTAAGGGATTTTCTCATATCATCTTTGAGGGCCTCTATCATTTTTATGAAGATATTTTTTAAGTCATTCTTTTCTGCTTCATCTGCTTTGGAGTGTTCAGTTATAGTTGGTGTAGAGTCCCTAGATTCTGGTGGTGTCATGCTTGTGTTTCTATTGTTAGGTGTTTTCTTGTATTGCCATCTTCCCATCGCTTCGTCCAGTGGGTGCAGGTGGGGTCTCTCTCTCTCTCTCTACGCTACTCCCTCACCCCACCGTAGGCTTAGGCAGGTCAGGAGTTCCCTGTCTGTAGCTCTGGGTGGTTCAAGCTCTCTAGGAGGATTCTCCTCAGGCAGGGGCCCAGCGATGGGAGTCAAAGATTAGGCAGGCGGGGATTCAGGGTAGTCCTCCAGCAGAGGCCGGGTGATCTGATCATAGATCAAGCAGGTGGGGACTCAGGGTGGTTCCAGTTCTAGTGTGCTCATAGCAGATCCAGGAAACTCCCGGGAGTTGGTGAGACCCAATCTTCATGTTTCTTTAAAACTCAATACAAGCACTTAATTGCACGAAACTATTTTATGACTTTTATCTCCCTGTTTAGCTGTGTATTTCTTCAAACCCTGAAGTCCTCGACAGAAGTGACTTCAGCCCTTCAAAGCCACTGCCCACTTCCAGAAGCCATGGTAATGGACACCGCCCCTTCTCTGCTTGGCTGTGTGTGGTCCTGTGATTGAACACTGTTTTGTTGAGCAATTGCCAACTGTAAATGTATTGTAACTAAATAAATTCTACAAGTGTCTAAAATAAGCACTCACAAGTGATAGGTATAAATAGGAACTTGACAATGGTCAGGAGAGTCACACTCGTTAGCTTCATAAAATGTACAGTCAACTCTTCCTCCTATGAGAAGTCTGTAGTTGAAATTCTTTAAGCCTTACTCCTGACAAACATCCAGACTAACTGGACCCATCTGTGATCTTCAGAGGATAGTAGGCTTGTCTTCTTGCTTCTTTTGAGATACACAAGGCAAGTTTTATTTTGTTTGGTGGGAATTATGTTAGGAACAAATTCTCACTGTGTAGCCTACGCTGACTTTGAACTTGCTATGTTCAAATCCCAGACTGGCTGGGAATTATGATCTTCCTGCCTCAGCCTTCCAAATGCTGGGATCCCATGGGTCCGCTGCCATTCCCATTTGATTTTTGTTCTTTATTGCAGTGCAGTTTGTGTAATAACTGCTCTGTGTCCAGGCTTATGATATGAAGCATGTAGTTATATAATAACCAAAGATGGACGGAATATTTAATGATTTTTGCAGGGCCATTCTTATTCTACAACTTATGATTTTGATTACCCACATAGCACCCACCATAGAGAGGATGTATGTATCACATATGTACCATCTAGGAACACACTCTTGCAGATGTGTGAGATTTATTCTTCCATATGTAGAGCACTCCTTCCTTCAACAAGCGCCGAGTGTAGGCTGTGTTTAGAAGATGTTGGGTTTTGATTGATTATATTATCAATTTGATTGATAATACTGATATATAATGCTGATAATCAGATAATACTGATAATATAATATGCAATCTTGATTTAAGACCCAGTTTTGATTTAATATAGGGTTTCTCTTTCAAAGGACCCCACAGGCGGAGGCCATCATGAGGGTGGAGCGGCAGCCCTCTCTCCTGGGGTCGGTAAGAACTTGAAAGCAACATGGATCATGTGGGTTTGTACCTAGGGATGGAAAGGAAAGGGTATTTCTAGTTGTCCAAGGAGCTCCTAGAGAGGCGAGTACTGACATGGAGGGGTTCTGTGGATGACAGAGTGTCAGCATTCCTGTGACATCTTGAGAATGGATGCAGGATGAATGACAGCAGTCCTGTGTCAGATCCAAACCAGCCAGTGTTGGAGGCATCATGCCACAAGCTGGTTTCCTGAGATCTAAAATGGAAACTAGGGTGCCAGAGTAATCTTAAGAGAACACATTATGTCTAAGTCCCAGGCCAATAGGAGACTTGGACACATGATCAGACATGAAAAGGTCTGAGAGGATCCCTAGGGAGAACACGGACGTTGGAGGAAAGTCCTAACCCATCCATAGCAGACAGGCAAACCATGTAACAAAGAACAGAGCCTTGGGATTGAGAGGTTTGACTGCATTTCCTACTGGGTCTCCCTTCTTTCCCCCACAGAAGTTGCTCCAAGTGAAGCCCAGGGACGTGAATGTCCATCGAGCAGTGCCTGCCTCCTCCCCCACAGACCTGGCTCAGAACGAAGCCCAGTGGCTTCAAGAGGCAAAGAGTCTGAGTGAGCAGCTGAGAGCAGCCTACACCAAAGCCACTTTCCGCCACATGGATTTGCCAGAGGTGTGTTCCGGCCTAGGCACTGACCACTTGCTCGGCTGTGATCTGTCCATCGTCTCGAAGCACATCAGCCGGCCGGTGCAAGAGGCCTTGATGCTCCCCGAGGTCTTCACCAGTCTCAACGCTGTCATGTGTGTGCAGGGGGAAATGGGCAGTGGGAAGACCACCCTCCTGAAGAAAACAGCCTTCCTCTGGGCGTCAGGGTGCTGTCCCCTGCTGAACAGGTTCCAGCTGGTCTTCTACATCTCCCTTAGTTCCACCAGGCCAGACCAGGGACTGGCCAGCATCATCGGTGCCCAACTCCCCGAGGCAGAAGGAAGCATTAGTGAAGTGTGCCTGAGCGGCAGCATCCGGCACTTAAAGCACCAGGTGCTGTTCCTGTTGGATGATTTCAGTGGGATGGACTCTCTGCCCCAAGCCATAGCAACACTGATTACAAACAACTACTTGTCACAGACCTGCTTATTGATCGCTGTCCATACCAACAGGGCCAGGGCCATCCGCCCATACCTAGATACAATTCTAGAGATCAAAGATTTTCCCTTCTACAATACTATCTCTGTACTACGGAAGGTATTCTCACACAATATTATCTGTGTGCGAAGGTTTATAAATTACTTTGGCATGAATGAGGATTTACAGGGAATTCACAAAACCCCCTCTCTTATGGCAGCAGTCTGTATTGACTGGTTTCAAAATCCTTCTGACCAGTCCTTTCATGATGTGGCAGTTTTCCAGTCCTATATGAAATACCTTTTCTTAAAGCTCGAGGCTACAGCTGAGCCTCTCAAGGCCACTGTGTCCTCGTGTGGCCAGCTGGCCTTGAGAGGGCTTTTCTCGTCTTGCTTTGAGTTCAGTGGTGAGGACCTCACAGAAGCAGGAGTAGATGAAGATGAAGATCTGAACACCTGCTTGATGAGCAAATTCACGGCCCAGAGACTGAGACCAGTCTATCGCTTCTTAAGTCCTTTGTTCCAAGAGTTTCTTGCTGCCATGAGGCTGACTGAACTCCTGGGTTCAGAAAGAGAGGAAGACCAATGTCTGGGGCTTGATTATTTGAGACAAATTAACTCTCCCTTGAAGGCTGTGAGTGTCTACAACAACTTTTTGAAGTATGTCTCCAGCCACCCTTCATCAAGGGCAGGGCCAAAAGTTGTGTCTCACTTGCTTCGGTTGGTGAGTGATAAAGAGTCGCTGGAGGACATGTCTGAAAAAGAGGATTATGGGAAGCTCTATCCAAAAACTTCCCGGATGATGCAGTTAATTAAGGAAATGTGGCAGGTATCTCCTGAAGCTTTCTCTTCATTCGTCTCAGAAAATTTAGTGAATGTTGCTCTAAAGTTTGCTTACAAAAGCAATGCAGTTGCTGCGTGTTCTCCGTTTATTTTGCAATTCCTTCAAGGAAGAACACTGGCTTTGAATGCACTGACTTTACAGTACTTTGGGGACCACCCAGAAAGCCTGCTACTGTTGAGGAGTGTACAGGTCTCCATAAATGGAAATAAAATGCCACCCAGAGTAGGTTACTCAGTCATGGAAAAATGTTTCGAAACCTTACAGCCACCAACGATAGAGGAGGACTATGCATCTGCTTTTGAACACATGAAGGAATGGGAGAAAAACTTAGCTGAAAATGAAGGTAACGTGAGGGATTTTCTGAATAACCAGCCCCAGCATCCACCCAACATCAGTGCTGGGTACTGGAAACTGTCACCCAAGCTGTACAAGATCCCTAGGCTGGAAGTTGGAGTGGCCTACATGGGTCCAGCAGACCATGCACTGCTCCAGGTCCTGACGGAAGTCTTCTCAGCATCGCAGGATATCGAGCTCTGCTTGATGCACAGCAGCGGCTTTCTGGAAAGCATCCGCCCTGCTCTGGAGCTGAATAAGACCTCTGTCACCAAGTGCTCCCTGTGCAGACTGAGGCTCAGCCAAGCAGAACAGCAGCTGCTTCTCTCCCTGCCTGCCCTGCGGTCTCTTGAGCTCTCAGGGATAAACCAGTTTCCAGGTATCCCTGAGTGTCACACAACCTCTCTGCTTGACACCGTGTTTTCTCGTTCTTAGCTTTAGATGGATGAAACTTCTCAGGCACAAGGTCATGAATGTGTCCTGATAGAAGAGCCTAAACACTTTCACTGCCTGGGGCACTCGGATCTGCCTGTCCCCGGCTGCAGCATGTCCCTTAGCCACTAATATGGACTCAGGTAGCTGACCTGATCCCAGGCATCCACATGGCCCTAGGTGGCAATATGGGCCACAGACTTCAACACATACCCTGATTGCAGTAGGACCACAGACCCAGACATTAGCCTCAGCAGTGCCTGGGTCTGGATATCACTATGGCTGTAGGTGGCAGCACAGGACACCCATACTGTCATGTTCATGGTGGCAGCTCATTCCTCAGATCAAACATGGCTCCAGGTGGCAGCCCATACCCTGGGAATATGTATGGCACTTGGTTGCAGCAGGAGCCACAGACATGGGCTCAGATATTGGTTGGTATTAGATAACCAATTATTGTGCTCTTCCCTGGGGAAGACTATTTCTCCCATTATCAACAACCCTTAGCTTCCTATAGTTCTTTGTGTAGGTTTGAAGCCTCATGAGTTTTCACTTAATTGGAGTAATATTCTCTATCCTTTTACTCTATATAGGTGCCTATCTTTAAATCCTAATAGACAACAAATAGATGAATTTTACTACTACTACTACTACTACTACTACTACTACTACTTTGGTTTTTCCAGACAGGGTTTCTCTATGTATCAGCCCTGGTTGTCCTGGGTCTAGCTCTATAGGCCTGGCTGGCCTTGAACTCACAGAGATCTGCATTCTTCTGACTCCTGAGTGCTGGAATTAAAGATGTGCACTACCACTGTCCTCCAGGATATTATTTCTTGATCCATTCAGCCAGCCTGCATCCTTTGATTGTAGACTTGGGTCCATTAATATTTGAAATTATTATGGAAGTATGTGTGTTGACCAAGTCACTATCACTATATTGTTGTGTTCCTTCTGGTACTTTGTATTTTAGTAATTACTTTCAAGTTTTCTTAGGTCTGAAATATTGCCTCCCTGTTCTACTTAGCTTTAGTTTGCTGCATATAATTTTTTTATATCGTGCTTATATCATGGAAATTTTTTCCTACTCAACTATGGTGGATAGTCAAGGTTGAATGTTGTGGTTTTTAGCACTTGGGAATTATTGACATTCAGGGTTCCCACTGAGAAATCAGCGGTTACTCTCATGGGTCTTCCTTTATATGTGACTAGTGTTTTTCTCTTCATGACTTCATATCTTCTCTTTTTTCTATATATTTAATGTTGTTTTGTTTTGTTTTGTTGAGACAGAATTTCTCTATGTAACAGCTTTGGCTATCCTGGAACTCACTTTGTAGACCAGGCTAGCCCTCAAATTCACAGGGGCCTGACTCTGGCTCCCAAATGCTGGGATTATAGTTGTGCCATCACTGCCCTGCTATGTATACTTAATGTTTTTTTTTATGCATATAGAGTATTTTTTATTTAATTTTATATAACAAAGTCCAATTAAATGAAAACAAACATTTATACACAATATTTGGGAATTTGGGCGTCGTTCTTTCCAAACTACTTCCTGCTGGTAAGGGGCGCTGTCTTGGGGGATTCGAAGAAGATTCAGATATCCTAGCTGTAGTCTGTAGGGCTGTTTTGTCCAGCTGTTTGGAATGTAGGATCAGCTTGTACTCTGTTTCAGGCGGTCTGGTGTGATCAAACCACATTAGTCTGGAAGGAATCCACATCTTTTCATTTTCTGTGGAAACAAAAATAGAAATACTTTTCCCCAGTAACTTGTTCTTCAACTTAAATTTTGGAGTCAAAGCTTTTTTTTTTTTTTTTTTTTTTTTTTTTTTATTATTTTACATGTTGATCCCAGTTCCCTCTCCCTCCCTCCCTCCCTCCCCCCAAGCCCTCCCTCCCTCCTTCCCTCCCTTTTGCCCTCTCTACCCTCTCCCATGCACTCTAAACACCCTCCCCTCCCAACCCCCCCACCACAATACAATATGTAGGGGAATGCCATCCAGTTGGGGTCATGTAGATCTGACAGGTCCTGTGAAGTAGGGACTAGGGCTTCTCTCCTATCTCTAGAATAAGGCAGTTATCCCTCCATGGGGGATATGTTTGCAAAGTCCTTTTGTGCACCAGGGATACATCCTGGCTCCACTGTCTGAGGTCTCTTAGACTGCTCAGACCTTCTGGCTGAGACCCATATTCAGGGGGGTCCGAGTCAGACCCCTGTTGGCTTCCCAGCTATCAGTCTAGTGGCCTTTAGCTCCTCCTTGTTCAGGTAAGCTGTCTCTATGTACTTCTACCGCATGGTCTTGTCCTCTCCATCTGCTTCTGGGTTCTAGTTTGACTCAGTGTTTATGTATGGGTGTTTGCTCCTGTTTTCAACAGGCATTAGTTGAGGACTCCATGGAGAAGTTAGTTGTTGATCTCACTCTCCGGGAAGGGCATTTATGATAGCCTTTCCACGGAAGCTGAGATTGTTAGTTGGGAGCAGTCTTGTAGTTCCCTCGACCTTTCTTTGTGTTCAACTTTATCTTCAAACCAATATTGGCTCCCTCTTTTATGTTCTCTCTCTCTGTCTCTGTCTCTCTCTCTCTTTCCTATTTTCCATTCCTAACCAGGCTCAATCCTCCTGGTCGCACATGCCTTCCTCTCCTCCCTCTCATTTTCTCCTACTTCTCTCTCCATTAGCTGTCCTCCCCAACTATACCTGAGGTCTGGGGGACTTGTCCCTTCCCAGTTCTGTGAGGGACTTTATATGAATCTCTTAGAATACAACTTGTATCCTAGTTCCTCTGGTGATGTGAATTATAGGCTGGTGATCATTTGATCTAGGTCTAAAATCCATATATGAGTGAGTACATACTGTGTTCCTCTTTTTTGTGACTGGGTTACCTCATTCAGGATGGTTTCTTCAAGTGCCATCCACTTGCCTGCGAATTTCAAGATACCATTATTTTTTTCTGCAGAGTAGTATTCCATTGTGTAGATGTGCCACATCTTCATTAACCATTCTTCAATTGAAGGGCATCTAGGTTGCTTCCAGGTTCTTGCTATTACAAATAGTGCTGCTATGAACATAGTTGAACAGATGTCTTTGTTGCATTGATGTGAATCCTTTGGGTATATGCCTAAGAGGGGGATTGCCGGGTCCTGTGGTAAACTAATTCCCATTTTCCTGAGGAACCGCCATACTGATCTCCAAAGTGGCTGTATGAGTTTGCACTCCCACCAGCAGTGGAGGAGTGTTCCACTTTCTCCACATCCTCTCCAACATAAGTCATCACTGGTGTTTCTAATTTTAGCCATTCTGGCAGGGGTAAGATGGTATCTCAAAGTTGTTTTGATTTGCATTTCCCTGATAGCTAAGGATGTGGAGCATTTTCTTAAGTGTCTTTCAGCCTTTTTGATTTCCTCCATTGAGAATTCTTTCTTCAGTTCTGTACCCCATTTTTTAATAGGGTTATTTGGTGTTTTGTTGACTAGTTTCTTGAGTTCTTTGTATATTTTGGAGATCAGCCCTTTGTCGGATATAGGATTAGTGAAAATCTTTTCCCAGTCAGTGGGCTGCCGTTTGGTCTTGTCAACTGTGTCCTTTGCCTTACAGAAGCTTCTAAGTTTGAAGAGGTCCCATTTATTAATTGTTTCTTTCAGTGTCTGTGCCCCTGGAGTTATGTTCAAGAAGCGGTCTCCTATACCAATTTGTTCAAGGGTACCTCCTACTTTCTCTTCTAAGAGGTTCAATGTGGCTGGATTGATGTTGAGGTCTTTGATCCATTTGGACTTGAGTTTTGTGCATGGCGACAGACATGGGTCTATCTGCAGTCTTCTACACACCCTCATCCAATTGTGCCAGCACCATTTGTTGAAGATGCTGTCTTTGCCCCATTGTATAATTTTAGCTGTTTTGTCGAAAATCAGGTGTTCATAGGTGCGTGGATTAATATCAGGATTTTCAATTCGATTCCATTGGTCTACCTGTCTATTTTTATGCCAATACCAGGCTGTTTTCAGAACTATAGCTCTGTAGTAGAGCTTAAAGTCAGGAATGGTGATGCCTCCTGATGTTCTTTTATTGTATAGGGTTGTTTTGGCTATCCTGGGTCTTTTGTTTTTCCATATAAAGTTGATTATTATCCTTTCAAGGTCGGTGAAGAATTGTGGTGGGATTTTAATGGGGATTGCATTGAATCTGTAGATTGCTTTTGGTAAGATTGCCATTTTTTACTATGTTTATCCTACCTATCCAAGAGCATGGGAGGTCTTTCCATTTTCTGGTATCTTCTTTAATTTCTTTCTTTAGAGTCACAAAGTTCTTATTATATAGATCTTTTACTTGTTTGGTAAGCGTTACACCAAGATACTTTATGTTGCTTGTGGCTATTGTAAAGGGTGATGTTTCTCTGATTTCTTTCTCTGCCTCTTTGTCGTCTGAAAAAAATAGGGCTACTGATTTTTTTGAGTTTATCTTGTATCCTGCTAGTTTGCTGAAGGTGTTTATCAGCTGTAGGAGTTCCCTGGTAGAGTTTATTGGGTCGCTTATGTAAACTATCATATCATCTGCAAATAGAGACAGTTTGACTTCTTCCTTTCCAATTTGGATGCCCTTGATCTCCTTTTGTTGTCTTATAGCATTAGCTAGAACTTCTAGTACGATATTGAAGAGATATGGAGAGAGAGGACAGCCTTGTCTTGTTCCTGATTTTAGAGGAATTGGCTTAAGTTTCTCTCCATTCAGTTTGATGTTGGCAGTTGGTTTGCTGTATATTGCTCTTATTATGTTTAGGTATGTTCCTGTTATCCCTGACCTCTCTAATACCTTTATCATGAAAGGGTGTTGAATTTTATCGAAGGCTTTTTCTGCATCTAGGGAGATAATCATATGGTTTTTCTTTTTCAGTTTGTTTATATGGTGGATCACGTTGATAGATTTTCGTATGTTAAACCATCCCTGCAATC